AATCACGGATTTAGGGTTTCCAAGAGCATTGATTGATTGATTTAAATATAATAATTAAACCCTAAACCCTAAAACATAATCATTCATTTCAAATACCACTTTTATTATCTCAATGCATTTGTCTCCGCTCCCCTCTTTTACCTTATTATTAATTATTATTATTCAAACTCTAAATTAAATTAAATTAAATTAAATTAATATTAATTATTTCCTTCCATTCTGTTTTTTACTTCTTCTATTCCATTCTTACCCATTATTTCAAACTCCCATGCAAGATTCCCTTCTCCTCTTATTCCTTTATTTATTTATTTTATTTTATTTTATTTTTGTATAGTGGGATTTTACATAAAACCCAACCCTAACATTATCACACTCTTTTCTTTAACCCTCAAATGACCAAAATATCCTTACTCTTATCCATTATATTTTATGTTCCATGTCCCCACACCCTCTGCCTTCTAAATCATTTCAGGTATTTACAGATAACCATATCTTATATTACAACCTTAACTAATGTATATATTTTGTCTTATAGTCTTACATCTGTATAATTCACTTAAACTATAGTTTTTATTTAAATTATTCAAAGTATGGACAGGAAATAAAGCAGCCGTTTATTTTATTTTATTTTTTTAATTTTTTGGGCGAGTATGATGATATTGTGAATAAAAAATGTGGGGTGGGAAGTGGGTAGCGATCTGTGACATAAATGCGAAATTAAAAGGTTTGTCCGCAAACTCAGTTGACCTATTTATATATATTTCAAATTCAATTATTTGCCTAAAAATACTATAAATTTTAGTATAAAGTATTTTTTTCGATGTGTCACATCACACAAGCTATGGAGATTTTACAATTTAACTAAAATCACATTTTAACTTAAATAAACTGTGTTAAAAAAAAAAATTATATATTTTATTTATTTTAAAATTAAATAAATGTAAGTTTGAAAAATAATTGGTTATAAATGGTTACTCTAGTAAATTTCCATTCAAAATGGTGAAAAAGTTCAGAGTCTTTTGGTTTTTTTTTTTTTTTTTTTTTTTTTTTTTTTTTTTTTTTTTTTTTTTTTTTTG